TGTAGTGACAGGACATGGGAGAATGTGTTGAAACGTAAACAGGGGAAGTTCAGGTTGGATATGAGGAAGAAGTTCTTTACAGTGAGGGTGGTGAGGCACTGAAACAGGTTGCCCAGAGAAGTGGTAAATGCTCCATCCCTGGCAGTGTTCAAGGCCAGGTTGGACAGAGTCTTGGGTGACATGGTCTAGTGTGAGGCATCCCTGCCCATGGCAGGGGGGGTGGAACTAGATGATCTTAAGGTCCCTTCCAACCCTAACTATTTTATGATTCATTAGCTTGATAGCCTGCTTAACTCAAAGCCCAGTGATTTAATTTTGCTGCCCTATTTACATATTTATTAATAAAACAAAACTTATGATAGTCATAGTATATCATAGCACTCTGACAATTTTTACAGGTCTTTTTGTATTATGGTCGAACCTCTGTGCAGACACAATAATTGTGGACTCCATCTGCCCCAGTAAACCCCCTCTAAATTTTGATGCCATATTGTTTTGTCAATGCAGTTATGTCTTGGTAACTGCATCAAAACTGTTTGGTCAAACATTCAGTAACACTACACTTTTATAATCACCTACTCTCTATGCATATTGTTAGAACAAAACTTTTTGCAGTAATACATAAATTGTTTAAAATGCTGTCAAACTACCACAAGTATTTCACTTAAAAAAAAAAAATACTGGATTACAAAAAAGTGGGTGTCACTTTTCCAGAAGCATTAATGGGGACTATTTTAGTCTTCAGTGATGGGGAACGACAGGCTGTAGTGTTTCTTCAAGTTAAGAATAAAAAAGAACTGTACTTCCAAGAATTCAACTACTCTGCATTAAAGCCATCATGGGGTTACTGTACATTTATACATCAGAAAGTCAGTAAATTATTTTTCTATAAATTAGTCTCTCAAAGTTGACTTTTTTTTTTCTTTCTGTTCTGAATGCCAAACTCCTGACTGCTTCTCCACCACAGAGACTTCATATCTGGATAGCCGACATCTGTACAAACATTTCTAATGAAAACACTACTAATACAACCCCCTGGAGAAATAAATGAAATGAGATCTAAGTATGCAACCGCCTCTCTACATTTCTGTCTTTAACAATAGCAGGGCTAGTGCTTCCCATCCAAGCCTTGACACAGGTCATGATCATTTAGGCACAGTAGTAGCAAAATAAATAATTGTGTAAATATGTAATAACTGGTATAAATACTTCAGTAGCATTTAGAAGATATGATAAAGAACTTCTGTCTTTAGTTGTGCATTAAGGTTTATCTTGGTGGCTGGAAGGGAGAAGCATTTAAACTGCATGAAGGAGAACTATGGATTGAATACTTGAAAGCTCAGTGCCAGGCATAAGACTGCCTTCTTTTCCACAACAGCAGTTTTGAAAGTGTATTAGTGTTAAAAGTGCTGAATAACTGCTAAAATACTGCAGAAAGAGTGGTTACAGCTTTACCCCCAAACCCAATATACAGGAAAGAGCAGTAATGTACTTAAATAAACCAGTTTCAAAGCAAACCAGTGCCAACTTCTTTCTAAAATAACGTCATATTTTTTTCCATAATGCATTCCATTGCCTAAGAATTTAGAGACTTTTTTTCTGATAAACACTCTAACAATTAACAAGGAAAACAGGTCCACTTATTTGTAACAGTTCTTAAAATCTTAGCTAATGCTCCATATCAAGGAGTATAAACATACTTCTTTCAGATTCGCTGCCTCACTTTTAAACCTCTACTAAATAATCTGAGGTAACTCTTTCGTAGTAAAGCTTGGCAATAGCAAATCCCCTGCCAGTGGAAGAACAATTAGCACATACAGAGACAGGAGGGGATCTTCTGCCTGAAAACTATCATAAAAGAGAACAGCGATTCTAACTGCTCTCACTTTTACATGGGCTAATGCTTCTCCTTTAAAAGACTGGATTCGACAAATACAGGATATAACTGAAGTTTCCTTAGCCAAAGCCAACTGCAAGTTCTGGTCCTGAACTTTAAAGCAGATGAAAGCTGGAACTGATTTGGCACAGAACTGACACAGAACATGCTCCACCCCCACACCACACCACCCATTTACTAATTTTTATGGACATTTGTGTTCACAGAAACACATTGGTAAGAGTACTTGTTTTAAAATAATTCCATCAACTTCGCTAGTGAAATCTGGGTGCACTAAAATCAGCAGCAGAAGTTTGCCCCACAAGGGCTGAGCTGTTGCTCCTCTTCCCACCCGCTTCTCTGAGGCGCATGGAACCAGGACTGAACGCTTAAACGTGGGCTTCATCTCCAGCAGTCTTTTTATGCTGGGTGAATTACAGGTCCAGTCCGGGTTCCATTCATCTGTTTTAAATGGCATTCCTTTTTGACATGAAGACAGATGAAGAGAAAAATTCTAAGAGATATTTTATTAAAAAATGGTATTTGGTCCTTCCACTGGATAGCTATAACTTTAAAATTGGTTTGAGGCAATAAAAAGGCAAATAGAGCCCAACATAAAAAAATATATTTTTTTAGAAAGAATAATATCAAGCTCATCTGTACTATAGATACCTACTACAAATATAGATTTTCTTTCTTGAGTAATTCAGACTGAAGCACAGACAAACTGTGGTAGAAAAAATGAAGTTAAAATATCAAGCTCAAAGTATCTTTTTTTTCCTTATTCTAATACAAACAATATCACAAAGAGTAATAACTATATTATAAATCCGAACTGCTAAGTAAGTTTTAATAATTACAAAATTCATGCTTCCTACCTTGTAAGCAGTGATCTTCCAAATGACAAAATGGACCCAAATAGCTTTAATCAGGCTTATAAATCAGGTTTATAAAGTGTTCTACCTCTTATTTTACTCAATATTCTGATTTACTACAAAGAAAACTCACCCAAGTAGTCTCTTTTTAAACCCCACAGCTACATGACTGCTGTTTTCTTTAGAAGCCATGGAAGACACTCAATTAGGAATTAAAATGTGAAGTTAGCATTGAAAGTAAACCTATAAATATCATTAATTCAAGAACTAAAGACTGTCACATTACCAGAAATAGGGAACAAAAATTTCTGTTCAAATACATAGTCACAAAACAGACACAAAATCCTTAATTTTTATTAAAATTTTTGATTTTATTTAATACAGTAACACACCTGAAAAGTCACAGGATACCATTTCGGAAAAAAAATCACCAATTACAAAAAAAAAAATCAGTAAACGCAATGTGTGATCTTTAGGTCTAAGGCACCCTCCAGCGTTTGAAGAAAATATTACACTTCTAGAAAGCAAGCATTTGAAGAAAACCAGCATGAGCAAGTCAAGATAGAAGCTCCCCGATTAATTTGCAATATTTGCATATGAACGTGCATCAGTGATGTGATATGATAAAGCTGTGATGTTAAAAAAGTTGTAATTTTTTTTTTAATGGATTTGTATTGGATATATGAAAGTGCTATTTGCTTTGCTTAGTTGGAAGGGATCTCTTTAAGCACACTAATTTGAAAAATACAGGAGTGTGCAAAGTATTAGAAAACCATTTCTTGTGAAATCTGGTATTGAAAAGTAATAATTCTTCACAGAATATGATCCCTATGTTTATATAGCTTGCTTAAAACTTCTCTAAAGGAACTAAACAAATAGTTTATTTAACAGGAGATATGCCCATGGTGAGGAGGAGGAAAAACAACAGACCTAGAGGCAAAGCCAGACACAATATTACAAAAAATAATTTATAATTAATACTATACAAAACAGACAGGTCACATGAATACAGCCAGATCTATGGAAGCTCACTGATCTTTTGTAAAAAATAAAGGGAATTTTTCCATTGGTATCTTAGTTCATTCTCAACGTAACAAATTCTAAGATGTTTTCAGTATTCAAAATTCAAATAGAGAAACATTTGTGCCTACAGAACAGTCAAAAATGCTGTCTGAAAGCACAGTGTTGTAAGGTAATGTTATTAGCTAGATCCACACACATTATTTTAAAATTACCAAAATAGAATGAAAGCTGGAAACCAAAATGTGTTTCAACTGTGATTATGCTAACAAACTAACCTTTTTTGCAGCGTTGAGCATCTTTAGACTGCTCTCTGTTCATACTTCCACAATCAAACAAAACTTTACATAGAATTTAAGTGGTAATGAGGTAATATGCTTTGAAATGTATGTTAAGTAACTGCAAAGTGGTTAGGTCTTGATTACGGAAAACATCTTTACCTAGAAAAGCTCTTGTTTTCTGTATGTGTTCAGAATTCTAAGTGTATAAATTCACTGAAGTAGTGCTTCAAGTATCTTTCCTCATTAGGGATGGATGTAAGAATGCATGCATATTTCTGAACTCCTGGATTCACCCTTACAGGGCTAAGCGCAAAACTGCTAGGGATTTTCACCCTGTTTGAGCAGGCTAGTTACTTAGTAATTGATTCAGATTCAGTTTCATAAAGTTTCAGAGACATGCCCCCCAACCTTGTCTCTTACTTATTACAAAACTTAGTCATGATAGTTAGTTACAGTTGGAGAAGAAAAAATTGATTATTTTATGATTTAGTAAAAAAGTAATATCTGGTTGGTGCTGCACTTAGCTTCAGAATTAAGAGTTCTGTCATGGAAAACAGCTGATGTCACTTTTCCCTAGTACAGCTGAAGAAATCTTTTTAAACATCGAATGAAATTATAAGAATATTGACCAACAATCTTAGAATACTAAAAATACTACAAATAAAGATAGCCAGGGTGATGCAAAAAAGAGGTAGAAAACATTTCAGAAGAAACCACAAAAGATAAATATATTTACACATACACATGAGCATAAAAACATTAAAAAACAGCTGTCACCACGAAACTTAAAACTGTGCTTAACTTTACATGTTGCAGGTATTTACATTCACTTCAGAAAGAGCTAATAATAATGTGCAAAATTAAGCATTACCTTATGTATTTGCAAGGTAGTACAGGTTTATAAAAATCACTCTGTTCAAATTCTGGTTCTTTTTATCAACTTTTTTTTTATTTAGTGATGTTCCTTTTTGCAATAGCTTCTCTGATTTGACGATTAAGTTCACTCACAATATGGTCTTCATGATTATATACTCCTGTTCTCAACAGGGTATCCCTCTCTTCTATCAGACGAGAGAGATAATCATCCATGTTCTCATTTAATTTTCTAGAATTAGAAACTCTACCAGCAGAATTATCTCTAACATCTTGCAATTGCTTTCTTTCTTCTTCCTGTTGCTTTAGCCTGATGTTGATAAAACGGAAAGAATCAAAGGATGAGCTGTATTAAAAACGTCTCTGATTATGTTCATATTAAGTCTGTAGGTTACTTAATAAAATAAGGAAATCTATAAAAGGCAACAAATTACCCTCTCACTTGGGAAAAACAACTATAAGTAAAAACTGTTAAATTCTAACAATACCTTTTCTATATGCATTTGAAACTAATCCTTGCTATCAAGGTTCCCATTGTGATAATTCTAGCAGGGTTCAATATACAAGAACTACTGCAAAAAAGTTTTTGGAGGACAACATTAGGTAGATTTAAAATTTTAATGTGTTCAAAATATGAGCAGTTTGTTTTCTTAATGCAGCAATTAGCCATAGAACTGAAGGCTTAAAACAGAAAAAAGCCTGATGCTGTACAACTATGACCGTAATATAAAAACCAGATGCAATGTCCTTAAGCACAGATTTTCTATACTGCAGTACTGTTACATTTTACAAATGTGCAATCTTTACCTAAGGGGCACTAAACTGTGTTCTTTCACTGGACTGGCAGCCAATTACTATCTTGATTTCAGAGAATCATAGTATGGTTAGGATTGGAAAGAACATAAAGATCATCTATTCCAATCCCCCTCCCATGGGCAGGGACATCACACATACTCGGCCATGTCACCCAAGACACCATCCAACCTGGCCTTGAACACTGCCAGGGATGGAGCATTTATCACTTATTTGGGCAACATGCTCCAGCACCTCACCACCCTCACAGTAAAGAACTTACTCCTTTTAGCTATCCTGAACTTCTCCTGTTTAAGTTTAAACCTATTACCTCCTGTCATATCACTATAGTCCCTGATAAACTGTCCCTCTTCAGCATCCTTCAGATACTGGAAGGCTGCTATGAGGTCTCCACGTAGCCTTCTCTTCTCCAAGCTGAACAGCCCCAACTTTCTCAGCCTGTCTTCATACGGGAGGTGCTCCAGCCCCTGATCATCCTCGTGGCCTCCTCTGGACTTGCTCCAACAGCTCCATGTCCTTAAGTTAAGGACACCAGAACGGCACACAGTACTTCAAGTGGGGTCTCACAAGAGCAGAGTAGAGGGGCAGGGTCACCTCCTTTGACCTACTGGTCACACTTCTTTTGATGCAGCCCAGCACATGGTTGGTTTCTGGGCTGCAAGCACACACTGAAGCTGGCTCATGTTCAGTTTCTCATCAGACAACACCCCGAAGTCCTTCTCTGCAGTGCTGCTCTGAATAATTTCTCCACCCAACCTGTAGCTGTGCCTGGGATTGCCCCAAATGAGGTGTAGGACCTTGCACTTGGCTTGGTTGAACTTCATGAGGTTGGCATTGGACACCTCTTAAGCATGTCAAGGTCCCTCTGGATGCCATCCCTTCCCTCCAGTGTATCAACCAAACCACACAGGTCAGCGTCATTGATAAACTTGCTGAGGGTGCATCAACCCCACCATCCACGTTGCCAACAAAGATGTTGAACAGGATCGCTCCTAACACCAATCCTTGAGGGACATCACTCGTTATCGGCCTCCAGTTGAAAACTGACTTGTTGACCACAACTCTTTGCATGCAGCCATTCAGCCAATTCTTTACCCACCAAGTGGTCCATCCATCAAATTCATGTCTCTCCGGTTTAGAGACAGGGATGTCATGTGGGACAGTGTCAAACACTTTGCGCAAGTCCAGGTAGATGATGTTAACTGCTCTGCCCCTGTCCATCAGCTCTGAAGCCCCATCACAGAAAGCCACCAAATTGGTCACACAGGATTTGCCCTTAGTGAAACTATATTGGCTGTCACCAGCCACCTCATTGCTTTTCATGTGCCTCAGCATGCTTTCCAGGAGAATCTGCTCCAAGATTTTGGCAGGTACAGAGGGGAGACTGACTGGCCTGTAGTTCCATGGTTCTTCCATTTTCCCCCTTCTTAAGAATGGGGTTATTTTCCCTTTTCCCAGTCATTGGGAACTTCACCTGAATGCCATAATTTTTCAAATATGACAGAGGCTTAGCAACCTGATCTGCCAGCTCCTTCAGGACCCATGGAGGCATTTCATCAGTTCCCATGGACTTGTGCATGTTCAGGCTCTTAGGATGATCTCAAACCTGATCCTCTCTTACAGCAGGTCCAAGATCTTCATTCTCACAGTCCCTGCATCTGTCTTCCAAGATTTGGGTGGTGTGGTCAGAGCATTTGCCAGCGAAGACTGAGGCAAAGAAGTCATTGAGAAGCTCAGCCTTCTCCAAATCCAGGATATATAATCTCCCATTAGCTTCCAGAGAGAGCCCTTGTTATCCCTAGTCTGTCTTTTGTTTGCAATATACCTATAGAAACCCTTCCTGTTACCTTTGACATTCCTTGCCAGACTCAGTTCTAACTGGGCCTTAGCTTTCCTGACCTGATCCCTAGCTTCTGAACCTTCTCCCATTTCGAGGCACATGGCAAGAAAAGAGAGGGGAGGGGTCAAAAAAGACCAAACTAAAATAAAGCCCAACAAATCCCAAACCTTACAAATGCTTTTATACCTGTTAAGTTCATTTCTGATATCCTCCAACTCTTGACGGTCTGTTTTCCCCAGCTCTTTTTCTTCTGCTGCCAAGTAGCGCAACCTCATGTGCTCCAACTCCTGCTGCTGTTTTTTAAGGTGAGCCATTGCATTTTCTTGTTCACGCTAACATTAGAGACATAACTCAGTTGACTGTGTGATACACGTAGAAGTGCTAATTACAGCAACATGAGCAATACTTCAGCAGTATTAGAAATGCAGGAGTTAAACAGAATCTCTTGCTGCAATATAGGTATCAAAAGCTAAGACAACTGACTACCACAATTCCAGTAAACTGGTCCAGTCTGAACCAGCTAAGTCCAGTCACAGATACCTTTCCATTAAGAAAATAGCAAAAATGTTACAAACCCTTTTACACACTCTGGCTTAAACCAGTAAACATAAAATTTACACTTGTGGAACTGCTCAAAGTACTTAAATGTATTCCTTCATTACTCCTTAGATTAATTCCTAAAATTGTAAATTTAAATTACAATTTCAGAAATAAACCCCAGAAAAATGCTAAATCACTGCAGGAAACTTCCATCATCAGCCCCACCAGTGCCTAGTGTCAAACCTTCAAGCACTACTTTTTGAAATTGCAATTTCTAGTTAAAAAAATAAGCCTTGAAAACAAAACTGGTGAGGATTCCTTTCACATTTGTCTAGCTCTGTGTGAAACGTCAGGTAACTTATTCAAACCAGTCTATCCATTCTAAAAGTTTACTTGGATCTATATTTTCAAGCTCTATACAGACACTCTAACAAAACTAGGGTTTGAGTCCACTACCTCTTCGTGACATCAAAGTGTCTTAAAAAGAAGTGTGGTGCCCTCTCCACTTGTTTTCCTTCTGGTCATTTTCCTTATGACCTCATGACAGCCTTACACTCTGAATGAGACAGAAGACCTGAGGTAAAATGACATTTTTTCCTGTAGTTAAAAAATAAGGCAGGAGGTTATATAAACATCCTGGATCTAGACATATTGTGAAGTGCAAGGTTACCTTTGTAATTTTGACACTGTTTTCAACTGAAATATTTGACAGTTAATACAGTTAGTTTTATATTTATTGTAGGGCTAAAAAAAAAAAAATTTCATTTGATGTGTGAGTATATTCATTATACAGTCAATCTAATAATATTTGGAAGAGTCTAGTCAGGCAGTTCCCTGAATCTTGGTCCCCCAGCACCTGAAGCACTCCCTGTTGATGATCACTAATTGATAAGAAAAGTCTGAATTTCACAAGGAATTAGTATTAA